GAGGCCTCCCGGTGTCACTGGGGTACAATGCTGTCACGGAGGAACAGAGGAAGGCGCTGAAGCCCTCGGCATTGTCTCTCCCTGGGAAGATCCCATGAGAACAGCCGTAGCGGTGACACCGCCGAGCTCCAGGCAGAGCCAGCCCCACTTAAAGCTTAACTCTCCCATCTCCATAACAATGAAGACCCATTCAGGCATCTCCAGCAGGTCCCTACCCCTACCTTTTATCCGAACCCGGGACACTCAAGTGCTCAGCCCAACGCCAAACAAAGCCCCATTCGACCTGGAGTCTATGAACTGATGTATTGTGTCCCTGCATCAGGTTTTTTTGCGACTTTTCTGCTGCTTTTCAAACTCTTACCTCGGAAAATAATGTTACTAAACTCGTGTGACGGATTGAAGACCAGATGTTCGGCCATTGCATCACCCTCAGATGTTACAAAGAGGCAAGAGGAACAGGACAGCTTTACACCACTGGGGGAAAAAAAAAAAAGAGAGAGAGAAGAGTGCATTGAGCCTAGCATTGGTATTGGATATGAAAATATGTACATCCCCTCACTAACAACTGGGAAAAAAAAAAGCCACCCTCCAGTGCACAGAGGCCGTGTCCCCACCCCGAAGCATTAGCGCCCACTGGAAGGCAAGGGGAGCCTCAGCATGTGGCCCTCAAATGCAACACATTGGTTTTTGCCCCACAGGACAAAGGGAGCTTCTTCAGCAGCAGATCATGAAAGAACAGAACTGGAAGATCAGAAAGCGAATGCACATTGGATCCCCGGGTGATGAAAACGAGATGACGAAGTTTTCCATTACCAGGCAGTGTAGTTTTTAAACAAAGCCAAGTATTTCGGACTCTTCCGAGGAACGTGGTTGCTGTAAGACAAGAGAGTTTGTTAAACGTCAGAATTATCCGGGGTATTCAAAGAGCTCCAAAACCAGGCCAAACACAGCGCATTTACAAAGACAGACCCAGTCCTGCTGTCTGCCACTCGCGTACGCAAGGACACAAAACTCTGTGTCTCAGCCAAACCACCTGTACAGCAACGTTTAAAGATGCCCAGATTTTGGAGCAACCGTTCTGCCACCCCGCTCTGCGGTCTACCCGCAGTCCTGTGCGGACCACAGCCTCACGGCATAATTTTTTTTTTTTCCCTCTTTTTACAATTGTTAAATTATTACATCTGAGAGTTTTGCAAGCAATCCTAGGAGCACAGAAAAATGCCGGTTTTCTGCAGCAGCACGCGGTGCACGGCGTTAGCTACAACGCCGACGGCTCGGAAGGAACCTCGGCTCTTGTGTTTCTCATCCCGCGTGAAAGCCGCCACCCGGGCCTGGGCCTCACAAACCACCGCCGTGCACCGGGATCTCCTGACACCCCTTTCTCACGGCGCAGACGCAGACACACGTACTTGATCATGTGGTTGGCGTAAGCTCTGGAGCAGCAAGTGCTGTAGCGACACAGCGAGCAGTGCACGTAGGTGGGGAAGTGGTTTGGGAAGTCGGGGATTTCGAAGCTGCACTCCAGACAGGTCTGCCTCCCCAAGACACTCCTGAAGGCAAGAGGGATATTCCGTTAGCGGCCGAACAGCCATCGGGACAGGGAAGGATTCAACGACACGGGAACTGTCCCAAGGCCGCAGTCACGCCAGCCCCATCGCGCTCCCTGGCTTCCCAGGGCGCCTCGGTGCCAGGCTAAACGTTTCCCACTGGCTGTAGTCAGGAGTAAACAGTTTAAGAGTGGAGAATAGATAATAAATTTAAAAAAAAAAAAATTAAAGAAAAAAGAAAACCAATATTGAAGACAAGGCAGCGGGACAGGGTGGGCAGAAAGCCCTTACACTGGTGGAATCCCATGGTTTCTCTCGAAGCGCCCAACTAACTCTGTTATTTCGCCTTAAGGGCGGCTCGTAACACGACTCGGTCCCGGTTTGCGGGACGCCGGACTCCTGGCACAAAGCTGCCCTGGCACTGGCAGGCAGAGCCGTCCCGGGCTGCGGGTCGTGCTCGTCGCTGCGGCATTAAAAGAACTAACGGCATTTCCTTCCAAAAAAAAATTAAAAAAAAAAATCAATCGGGTTTTAATCTGAAATTTAGCAAAACGTTCTGACATTTTTTTGACTGCTCTCTTCTGGACGTTCCTCTGGACGGGCGGGTACAGGAAGATGGGCTGGGGATCAGTAGAAGACGACAGCGGGGTGGTTTCCTGCCCGGTGCCCTGCGGCATGTCGTTGGAAGATATCGGCACTGCCCGTGGCTGCCCGCGAGACGCCCTGATGGTCACCTGCAGCACACAGAGACACCCGCACCGCCTCAGACACGGGGCACAGCTGACTTCCCCGCAGAGAGCAAACGGGGGC